AAAAAAAAAAAAAAAAAAAGAACTAACTCCATAAAAACCCTAGAAGAAAACCTAGGCAACACTATTCAGGGCATAGGCATAGACAAGGACTTCACAACTAAAACACCAAAAGCAATGGCAACAAAAGCCAAAATAGACAAATAGGATCTAATTAAACTTAAGAGCTTTTGCACAGCAAAAGAAATAATCATTAGAGTGAACCAGCAACCAATAGGATGGGAAAAAGTATATGCAATCTACCCATCTGACAAAAGGCTAATAACTAGAATCTACAAAGAACTAAAGCAGATTACAAGAAACAAACAAACTCATTCAAAAGTGGACAAAGGATATGAACAGACACTTTTCAAAAGAAGACATATATGAGGCCAACAAACATATGAAAAAATGCTCATCATCACTGGTGATTAGAGAAATGCAAATCAAAACCACATTGAGATATCATCTCATACCAGTTAGAATGGCAATCATTAAAAAATCTGAAGACAACAGATGCTGGAGAGAATGTGGAGAAAAAGGAAGAGTTTTACATTGTTAGTGTGAGTGTAAATTAATTCAACCATTGTGGAAGACAGTGCGGCAATTCCTCAAGGACCTAGAAATAGAAATACCATTTGACCAGCAATCCCATTACTGAGTATATACCCAAAGGATTATAAATCATTCCATTATAAAGACACATGCACATGTATGTTCCTTGTGGCACTGTTTATAGTAGCAAAGACCAACCCAAATGCCCATCAATGATAGACTGGACAAAGAAAACATGGCATATATACACCATGGAATACTATGCAGCCATAAAAATTGACGAGTTTGTGTCCTTTATAGAGACATAGATGAATCTAGAAACCATCATTCTCGGCAAACTGACACAAGAACAGAAAACCAAACACTGCATGTTTTCACTCATAGGCGGGTGATGAGCAATGAGAACACTTGGGCACAGGGAAGGGAACAACACTCACAGGGATAGGTGGGGGGTGGAGGGAAGAGGAGGGATATGGAGGGGGCAGGGAGGGTGGGAAGGAATAACACCAGGAGAAATGGCTGATGTAGGCGACATTGGTGGGAGTGGGGGATAGAGACAGCAAACCACCATGGCATGCATGTACCTATGCAACAATCCTGCAGGATGGCACATGTACCCCAGAGCCCAAAGTACAAACAAAAAA